ACCTGGAGGTCATGGCACCCCCTAGGTGGGGTTCGTGGGGGGCAGGGTGGAGGTGCCACCCCATGCCCAAGATCCTGAAGGTCATGTCACCCCCTGGGTGGGGCTCCTGAGGAACATGGGACACATCCCACCCCATGGCCAAGGTGGTGGCATCATGGAGGACATGTCAACCCATGGCCAAGTGAGGTCCCATGGGGCATAATGGGGACACGCCACCCCATGGCCAAGGACCTGGAGGTCATGGCACCCCCTAGGTGGGGTTCCTGGGGGGCAGGGTGGAGGTGCCACCCCATGCCCAAGATCCTGAAGGTCATGTCACCCCTTGGGTGGGGCTCCTGAGGAACATGGGACACATCCCACCGTATGGCCAAGGTGGTGGCATCGTGGAGGACGTCAACCCATGGCCAAGTGAGGTCCCATGGGGCATCATGGGGACATTCCACCCCATGGCCAAGGACCTGGAGGTCACACCACCCCCTGGGTGGGGTTCCTGGGGGAGAGGGGGGACATCCCACCCCATGGCCAAGGACCTGGAGGTCATACCACCCCTTGGGTGGGGCTCCTGAGGAACATGGGACACATCCCACCGTATGGCCAAGGTGGTGGCATCGTGGAGGACGTCAACCCATGGCCAAGTGAGGTCCCATGGGGCATCATGTGGACATTCTACCCCATGGCCAAGGACCTGGAGGTCACACCACCCCCTGGGTGGGGTTCCTGAGTGACAGGGGGGACATCCCACCCCATGGCCAAGGTCCTGGGGGTCATGCCACCCCCTGGGTGGGGTCCTGAGGAACATGGGACACATCCCACCCTATGGCCAAGGTGGTGGCATCATGGAGGACATGTCAACCCATGGCCAAGTGAGATCCCATGGGGCATCATGGGGACATTCCACCCCATGGCCAAGGACCTGGAGGTCACACCACCCCCTGGGTGGGGTTCCTGGGGGAGAGGGGGGACATCCCACCCCATGGCCAAGGTCCTGGCATCATGGAGGACAGGACACCCCATGGCCAAGGTCTTGGCATCATGGAGGACACGTCAACCCATGGTCAAGTGAGGTCCCATGGAGCATCATGGGGACATTCCACCCCATGGCCAAGGACCTGGAGGTCACACCACCCCCTGGGTGGGGTTCCTGGGGGAGAGGGGGGACATCCCACCCCATGGCCAAGGACCTGGAGGTCATACCACCCCCTAGGTGGGGTTCCTGGGGGGCAGGGGGGAGGTGCCACCCCATGCCCAAGATCCTGAAGGC